ATTGCTTAAATTGGAAAATTAACTGCGATGATCATTCTTCACTTTCATCTACAACCGCAGTTCATATATGAATTATTTCATATAAACTTCACATCAGGAAAAAAATTGCCGGTACTGCAGATAACGCATTTGACCTTTAGCGAATTGCGTACTTTATCAACTAGTCACAAAACCAACAAATGGGAAAAACAAAACAAGGACGGACTTTTTAAATTTAGACAGGTCTACAATTAAAACTACACCATTTATCATTCCCTAGATAAGTTAGTCGTAGTCGAAAGTTACTTTTACAAACTTAGGGTAAACAGACTGTTCATAGCATGTGTTTCTGCACGTTTCCGCTCATTCTCCACGCGTTTTCTACTAAGTTTGCCGTCGCGACATTTCAAATACCGCTTGCGGTCAAAGAGCTAGGGGGTATTCTCTGACATGGGCTACATAGGTATATGCGGCCATTAAAGGATATGGTTTTTGAGAGGTTTTGGCCTGAAAAACGGTACAGATTTTGACCATTTTAGTATGAAATAGAGTATGTGTTTGGCTTGGCATTGGGTATTTTGTTTACAGGGAATTATTTTTTCCCTATCAACATTGGCAAATTTGTGGCCTTTCTCAAATGTTTACGCAAAGGTAAGCCATTTCTGGTAACCTGCCGTCATGTACTAGAGCCGTGTACTTATTTTAGTGGTCTAAAATTCGCTCAGGTCAGAAATAGGGTATGGAAAATCAGAGACTTTGTTCAGAAAAAGGATTAGGGTTTCAAGGTTCGGGCCGCACATCCCCACCAAAGAGAGAGTACCCATGATGAGGTTTTTATAACCACGGGGTAAACAGTACTTGCAAAAAAAGTGGTCGGCCAAAACGAAAACCGTCCGAATAAAAGTCCGAAATATTATTTTACAGCACAGTATAAAACTTTTAAGTAATTCAGAGTAACTCTTAGTTTGCTATATGGAGTGTCCAAATTTTTTTGTCTGAAATTTGTCCGAAATGAGATTTTTTTCCAAATAATGTATTCTTTTAAGAAGAGGATATAACTCTAAAATACACAATTGTTCGTTTACAAAAAGGGGCTGACACGTCCTCGTTTAATGGAGAGCTTATTACATTACATTTTCTATTACCAGCTGTTGCCGTTGTCGATAGAGGCAGACAATATTGCAGGTTGGTCTGGTAATGGACAAACAGTATACATATTAGACTTGCCACGAGTCGACCTTTTCTTAATCCTTGATCTCCCTCGAGCGAACGGCGAAACCAACAGGCCAGGAAAGAACTATTGGAAAGGACTTTTAGAAAGTCTATACACATTTCGATAGAAATCGAAATTTGTTGGTTGAGTGGGTAAACTGTTTGTTAGTTTCTGTATCTCGCCCGCTTTTGACGATTGACAAAGATGAATCTGACGAATTTTAAAAACTCGGAGTTACATTGGACCAATAGGGTCCATAAATATGTAACATGAAGGCAATTCATTTTGCAGAATATGGAACAGAGACAGGTCAAAGTTTTGAATAACTTAGTAGTAAATTGCAGAAATTTTTCAACGAGTAAGGTTACGAACATGTTATTTCAATGCCGTTTGCAGGTAAGCGTTCAATATTGGAGAGTTTAAGCATGACGTTTACAGCAGACGACTAACGGCAAAGATTACCTCTGAATTTTTTTTCTTTTCTGTTAATCCTTAAATAAATCACACAAAAATAGAAAAATGTCTGCTACTATTCACCGCAAATACAAATATTTTCACTCTACTGTACAGACAGCTGAAGACAGATGGCAAAAGTTCAATTTTTGCCGCTTGCCGCTTGATGTAACGTCATGCTTTGTCTCTCTAATTATTGAAGAACCACAGATGAATTTTTCTTTATGGTTGTAGGACATTTTAACTACTGGTATGTTTTCTGTCCCCAGTTTTTTCTGTTCACAGTTTCTCGCCTAAGACACCTGATATTGCAAGAAATGGATTAATATTATGAGGCCCTCTTAGCGGAATTCCTCTCATTGGCCGCCTATCGAAAAGGAGTTGGTTTAATATCCCGAACTGGAACACGCGGATACTACCACGGGGAGACGCCAGTGTCGACCGGTGGGAGCCCCCGAAAGAGTACGCTTTCTTTCACTCTGACATCAGATTGTCTGTGGTTGTGAACAGAGTATTCTCCTTATTCCAGATCTCGAAAATTACATTGAAACGTTCAATCAGGAAAAGTATCAGATAATTTCACCGATGTTACATTTAATCTGGAAGGAAGTCATACTCTGAAAAAACTGCTGATAATGCATTATGATACTTTCACTGGCTTTGAGATAAATAAGAGTGAATGGGTCACTTTCTCCCCTTCCACAGTCTCACTGGCTACGAGAAAGACTTCACACATGTCAAGGATAGACAGACTAAAGAAAATAAGGCCCGGCCACACTAATGCGTTTTCAAAAGTACATGTATCCGTTTTCGTCTCAACGAAAACGAAGCAAATATTTTTTTACCACACTAGCGTTTTCGTTTCGTTTTCACCTGTCTACAACAATTCGTTTTCATTCGAAGACGCATACTTTTTGATACGTTGAACGCTGCTGGAAACGACAGTATATGACACTATTTTCGGTACCGTTTTAAAAAGCCTCCGTTTTCGCCTATCCACACTAGAAACGGAGCGTTTTCAAAAAGCTCCACTTTTGAAACCGTTTTCGAAAACCTCCGATTTCATCAGCGTTTTCGGTCGTTTTAGGGCGGACGACAGGCAAAAACGGATCAAAAGGTATTTCATACGAAAACGCATCAGTCTGGTCAGAACTTGAGAATTCACATATAACGAGCTCTCAACTACATACCATCAAGGTTGAACTGCGAGAGAGAAGAGTCCAGACAGAAACATGGCGAGAAAAAGTACAATAACAATTAAATAGAACAAACACTTGACATGGACAGAATGATGGGGCCATTACTATTAGACGGTTAAATTTTTCTTATTCACATGATTATAAAATTCAACAATGATGAATGCAAGGCAATTTCGGGCAGAAACTGGTTTCTGTCAAAAATTGCTCAAATAATGTAAATAATTATTTCTAGTGGCATACATCCATCAAACTAGTTTGGTCTTGCCATAAGTATGTGTGGTTAACAGAACCGTATCAAAAAGATACCATTATAATTATTGTATGTTAGGTATAAAAAAATGTTTCTTGAATGGAAAGAAACTGCATTCTGCACAGTTAAATCTTTCAGTAGTTTTCGTACCATGTCAAAGATGATCTGCCCTCTTTCTTCTGTGGAACCTCGTAGACACAGAGCAAGTCCACCTAGAGATGAAAGTATGCCTTTTCATTTACAAACACACTGAAGTTTAAACATTCCGTAGCTAAGCAATCTTTTAATGCTTAAATTGGTCTTGTGATTTTACAAGCCTGCTACATTGTAATTTAACCAGTGTAAAAGTAAGAAATTTGTCAAATTATTTAATCCCATGTCACATTCCATTTTCACCAACCGGGATCTAACAGAAGCTGTCTTCTGTAAGCAGTCAAGTGCAAAACCAAAACAAATTGTGCTGCTTTTAAAGAACTGCATGTACATGCATTAAATGAACTCTTTTCAGAAATTATTAAGCTTATCAAATATTTATGACATTAATGTCAGTGGAAGTAAGACTACCTCAAACCCCATGATAACAGATGTATACTTGAATGAAATACTTGTCTAGGGATGTAACTGGTGTGTGAACTAGAATCACACAGTCAAGCTTTCACGTTTTTCCAAATCCTCATCCTATAGATGATTATAAGTTATGCACATGTGAACTGTATTCACAATTCTGACTCTGATTCTGGATTTACCAGAATCCCTAATACAGACCTAGGAACTCATCACAGTCAATATGACCATTCCTGTCTTTGTCAAAAGCTGTAAACAATCTCTCAGCCAGAACTCCATCCAAGGGAAAATAATGCATGCTACAGA